CGTCTTGGCCATTCATTCAGTGAATTTCTGCAGCGCCACACCGTTTTGCCCAGACTTCCTAGCCGTGGGTTTTTTCGGAATTATTCTTTGTGCTAATTATCGCACCGGATATTTACCTAGCAAGTTGCCAAGACGAAATATAGCATGGCCGTGCATCCTTTCTACGTGACCAAACCAGGGTAATGTGCTTCCCTGTTATTCCGAAGTTTTGTTGTCCCTTTCTTGGCTGGTTGCATTACAGTAGCGTGAGGTACATTCGTTACACAAAGGAATTTTTGATTGAGACAAAGCGTGTCTTTCTGTAGGATTATGAGCTGATCTACTTGCCACTGTGCCAACAATTTAAGATTTTACACCCCTTATTTTACACCCCCTACATTTCATTTTCTTCAGCAGCCTTGGTGCCTTAAAATGAATGACTTATGTGACTATTAGCCGTTTCCAATATGCGTTACAGATTTGTACGCTGATATGCAACGACTCGGTTAAGAAAAGCATTTATGCTTTTATCTTGAGTGGTATTTTACATTTATGGGTTCTAGATTTCTGTTTGAACTTCTTTTGTCTTCAACGGAACCAGGTCTTCTTTCAAATATGTTGTAAATAACCTGCAAACATGTATCGTTTGCCTCTCAGTAGAAAACATTTGTTCGTTTTTGAAAATTTAGAACCATTTCCTTACCCGCCTTCGCAGCTGCAGGACTACGGTGCCCGATGTGCTGCATTTGCTGTTCTATAGTCAGCGTAAGATTTACCATTTTAAAACATTAATCCTGTGCTTACAGTCAGACTGATTGGTTAAGTAGATGGTTAAACCAAAGTGATCAATCCTTTGAAGATTTTACTATCTACCTTCATCTTTCAAGGTTTCCCTTCTCATTCCAGAGCTCGAATCTGGTTTAAAATTTAGTCGGCACTCAGTGAGTATGAGATCGTAATTTAGGAAAGCGGGAAAACTCTTCCTTTGCCAGTCCCAAGCCAGATGAGAAAAGATGGATGGCGACCGTGGCGAAGTCTCCGCAAAATCTACACACTCGCCCATCATGGTATTGCCGTCATCGAACAGCATGCCGGATTGCCAAGGGCCGTGCAGGCTGTTGAGGGACTGAGGCAGACTGCACAAACTCAGCGATCAGAATCTTGTTATCGTCTTCTGGCAGCAACACGACAGCAACTGCCGATGATCAACGAATCGACGACAAAGATACCAATCAACAACTAAGCCGCAACCAGTTCTGAATTGAGGAGGACGATAGAGCGATGCCATTATTGGACGCCAGAGAAGGCTCCAGGAGATTGACACCGATAGTGTGAATTTACAGTAGAAAACTGGAATATGCCCTCACTCAGAGGAAAAAAGCGGGAGACAGTTGATAAGGCCGCAAGGCACCAACTCGACGGAGATGGACTCTTGTCAACAAAGCGCCAAGGCTCTAGAATTCTGAACCTTTGATAATGGAAGTTATTCTACTCAACTGTTGACATCACAGCGCGCACTCACGCCGGTGTTGGTGTTATCGTAGAACCCAACATGACTGATAGAAGCATTGACTGGAAGCCTGTCAGACAGAACGACGGTAATCCTCTGACTGAAGCTACAACAGGCTAAATCGATGACCTTGGTACAGGTCTATGCGCCCAATTTGTAGGGAGAATATGAGACCTTCCTTGAGGAAGTGCAGTGTGGTCTGTCTGAAGTGCCGAATACAGAGCCCCTCATATTGATGGGCGATTTTAATGCGTATGTCGAAGTAGACGCTGAAAAGTAGAACGGT